GGGGGGCTGGTCTCAGTGCCAGCTGATGAGTCTTTCAGCACCAGCCTGTGGGGGGGGCTGGGTGTCATGGTGCCCTCCCACATGGGGCAGGAGCCTCCTGGCCAATGTTACCCCCCACGCGCCCTTCCCGAACCACTATGTTCTGAGCCCCTGTGGGGGCGGGACGGGGCTGCCTTGGCATGACCGGGGTGAGGTGGCGCAGCTCTGGGCAGCGGCTGGCACCGGCTGCAGAGACGGGGGCCCCTGTGGGGCGGAGCTAAGGAAAGTCCCCCCTCCGGATCAGGGAACTGACTCGAGTTCAGTTTCCTTCTCCCCCGGGTTTCTGGTGATGCAGGCGACGCTGCCCGGCTCTGCCTGTGCATGGTGAGATCCCAGCCACGGTGGGCAACTGGGCGCCCCCCGCAGGGCCCCTCCCGACCAGCCCCCGGCTTCCCTTTGGGGAGCTCGCTGGGGAATCCCAAACGCCGACGAGCGAGCCCCACTTCGGGGTAGCTGGGACGCCCTGCCCGAAAGCTGGCTCTGAACTCCTTGCCTGAGCCCCTGGGCGGGGGCAGAAATCCGCCTGGCGCTGCCCTCGGCTGCACCGAATCCCTCCTCTGCCCACCCCGAAGGGTTTAAACCCACGGGAGCCAAGCTGGGGGGAGCCGAGGAGGAGAGGACGGGGCTCGTGCTCTGCCCCGGCGGGCCTGGGGCGACAGAGGCTTGGCGGCCAGAAGGTCCCATGGGGTCGTGTCTAGCCAGGCCCAGGCCTGTCCCTTCCCTGGCGGGTCGGCGAAGGGGAACAAGGCGCCTCAGGGCTCTGAACACGATTTGGGCCCTGCTCAGCGGGGGGTGGGAGGGGGTGTTGGGAAATGGCTGGAAGTGCTGACAGTGCCAAGCTGCTGGGAGCCAGGCCAGCGGAGGGAGGCTGGCGCGGAAGTTAGGGACGGAACTAGAGGGCATTTGGTGGGTCGCTCTCAACCCTGGCTGTTTCCTGCAGCCCCTGCTATCCCAGCCCTGGGCTCCCCCCAGGTCTGCCGGTGCCCCTCACTCCCGACCCGCAGCCCCTTGCCGGCCCAGCCCTGGGCTCCCAAGGAGTTGTGCTGTTCATACCCTTAAAGAGACAAACATTTTCCAGCTCCAGGGCCCCAAAGCGAGCAGCTGGTGGCTTTGCAGAGGGCCCCCAGCCCCCACTGAGTCAGGCCCAGTTGGGGGTGCTTTGCTGTAACTGGAGCACTCATGTTCCTGGCTCCCCCAAGACGTCCCAGCGTTTGGCCCGGGCACTCGGGGGCATAGGGCCTGTCGGGTGCCGTGGCTGGGGGCACCTGGTTTGTTTTGGTACCGTCTGCGCCCGAGTTTCCTCTCCTAGTTTCACATCCACATGCTGCTGTTTGGGCGAGTTCTCAAATGCCCATGGGAACGAAGCCAGGCTGGGGGCAGAGGTGGCAGCTCCTGCTGGCAGCAGTGGGGCGTTCCGGCCTCCAGGCCCCCACGGGCAAAGCTAGGGAGACTGTAACGACCTGGGAGGGGCAAGGGGTGCCCTCTGCCAACTGCACCAAATCACTCTGCTGCTTTGAATCCACCTGGGAGTTCCTTTTATGCTGGGCTAGCAGGGGCTGCGGGTTGGGAGTGAGGGGCACCGGCAGAACTGTGGGGGAGCCCAGGGCTGGGCTAGCAGGGGCTGTGGGTCGGGAGTGAGGGGCACCGGCAGAGCTGGCGGGGGGAGCCCAGGCTGGATTCTTGCCCCAAAGGAAAGCAGGGGCTGTTTTGAGCTGGGAGTGCTGGGGGTGGGGCGTGTCTCCAGCAGCCCCTTTCCATACAGAGCAGAGCCTGGTCCAGCGGCACCCTGGGGTTCAGGGCTGGGAGGGGGCTGGCTTAGAGCCACCAGGCCAGCATCTGATCCTGCCAAGGCAGCAGCGGCCGTTTCCCATGGTGGGTGCAGAGCCGGGAACGGCGCAGGCCCCAGGCGTGGGTGCTCCCTGTGAGTCAGGGACACGGAGCCTTTTCCTTCTAGGGGCGCCGGCCCCAGGGCGGGCACTGGCTGGCAGGGGGGATGGGACACGGGGCCTTTCCCCTCCAGGGGGTGCCAGCTCCAATCTGGCCCCAGGGCGGGGACTGGCTGGTGGGAGGGAGGAGGCGGGAATGCCAACCACCAAAATAAGGTGTCACTGAGGTAGCTGCATCCACCAGCAAGGAGCAGCGGCCCCAGATGTGAGCAGGGATGTGGGGGGGGGGGGGGGGGTGTTGCACCACTTCTGGGCCTCTCTGTGGTTCTAAGAACAGCCTGGGGCGGGGGCCGGGCCGGGCCCTGACCCCTGGGGAGCCTCCCCGCCAGCCAGTCCCCACCCTGGGGCTGGATCGGAGGGGACGGGCCCCGTGTCCCAGCCCCTGTCTCTGTCTCTGTGGCCCGCGGTCCTCGTCTTGCTGGTGTCCTGGGCTGGGTGTGAAGGGGGGGCCCCCCCGCTCACCTGCTGCCCTGGTTTGCCTTCCCAGACGCCGGGGACGGCCCCACCATGGCCCAGTGGCAGGAGGTCCAGCAGCTGGAGAACACCTACCTGGAGCAGGTGCACCAGCTGTACTCGGAGGAGCACCTGCCCATGGATGTGCGGCAGTACCTGGCCCCCTGGCTCGAAGACCAGAACTGGTAACTGCCGGGCCGGGGAGGGAAGGGTTAATCGAGGGGTGGGCGGGGGGAAGTCAACAGCTGGGACCCACAATCCACAGGGGTTGTCTCCTCTCTAACGTGGGGAGAGTGTGTCTGATTTGGGGGTTTGGGGGGAGGGGAAAGATGCCCCCCGACGTGAGGGAAGGGAGAGCAGGAGAAGGTGGGTAGGTCCCCGGGAATTAGCTCAGCTGGGGGCTCCCCCAGAGCATGCAGCCAAAGCCCCCCGGGTGCCTCTCCTGGCGTGGCCCCATGGATCCCCCGTTGGAGTTGTGGGGAACAGGCAGGAAGGGGACGCTGCGCCGAGGCTGGCTCTGCAGTGTGCCCCCTTGTCTCTGCCCCAGGAGCCGGGCGGCCGAGCCCCCCGCGGCCGAGCCCCACTCTGCCCAGGCCCACATGCTCTTCCACACCCTGCTGGCCCTGCTGGACGACCAGTACAGCCGCTTCGGGGCCAGCGAGGACGACTTCGTGCTCAAGCACAACCTGCGCAAATCCAAGCTCAACTTGCAGGTAGGGAGTGGGGCGCTGGAGGGGGACGGGACTGCTGGTGGGGGGGCGGGGCCCTGCTGACCCACCCCCATGCTGTCTTCCAGGCCAATTACCAGGAGTGCCCGGAGCAGTTGGCCAACGTCATCGCCAACCTGCTGCGGGAGGAGAAGGCCATTCTGAGCAGGGGGCTCACGGCCCAGCAGGTAAGCAGGGCCCGGGGGGGCTGATCCGGGGGCTCGTGGTATTTCTCCCCCCACCCCACCCCCGGCTTCCCGCAGCACAGCGCCCCCTAGCACCGCATATGGGTCGAGCCCATCTCCTGGGTATCCGTTTCCTCCCCCGGGGCCCTTCCTCCCCCGGCGTGCGGCTGGCTCTGTCTGGGGGGTGGGGCAGGGATCCCAGCCTGGGGCGCGGCCCCGGTGGGGCTAAAAGGGGCCTGTCCCTTGTGCGCCCCCTGCAGGCCGCAGCGCAGCCACCGTCCAGTGCCCCCATGGAGACGGACCGGCAGCAGAAGATCGAGCGGCGCCTGGCGGAGACCAGGGCAGCGGTGCAGGTGGGTACGGCCCGGCTATCGCGTATGCCCCCCTCCCCGCCCGGAGCTGGCTTTGAACCTGCGACCAGGTGGCTCCACGCCCCAGGTGCCAGCCGGCAGCCGGGCTGTGCCCATGCCCCAGGCACTCCCTGCCCCTGAACCGGTTCCCTTGGGCCCCCTCAGGAGCTGGATCGCGAAGTGCGGGACCTGGAGGAGCTGCAAGACACCTTCGATTTCCGCTATAAGATGCACCGTATGGTTGGTGAGGAGCCCGGGTGGGCAGAGCGTGACAGGGCCCTGCTGGCTGGCGGGGGGGGG